CTATCAAAGACAAATTATACAAGAAACATGACATTCAACCATGTTGGAAAAAATTTGTTCCACAATATTCTTGGTAAAAACTTATAGATCTGAAATAGATAAAAACGCTCAGTCAGCTCTCACCCAGTCTCAGCAGAGAGGGTTTACAGTAATACTGTAAACTCTCTGGTCTCAGTGTTTACAGACAAAAGGCAAATTACAGTGTATAAAAAGTATCAAAATATAAGCAATAGAAGTATACAACAGATTTGTGAAGGAAAGACAAACAGCAACAACACAACAAACTATCCAGGCATTTAGCCTATCTTAGTAAGTCAAGTGTTAACAGTCAGCTTTTAATGTAAAAATAAGTCTAAACTTTTCAGTTCAGTATTCACATGTGTGATCAGCTGCAGACAAGAAAAATAAAAGTTACTCACAGCTGGCTGGGAACTGGCCTTCACAAGGGTGGGAGGAGGATGACCTCTTTGGTTTACTACTATAAGGTTGTCGAATATCAATCAGATCAGCAAGTCTCTCTCTCTCTCTCTCTCTCTCTCTCTCTCTCTCTCTCTCCCCTTCTCTCTTTCCCTTTCTGTGTTTTACACCCACTCTTTGACTGTTTAATACAAAACAACTGCTGCTTCTTTCAGTGCAACACAATCAAACTCAATACCACTAGAGGCAAAGCTACACCCCTCCTCTCTCCCCCAAATACCATTATAGGAAAAAGTTGAGGTGAAAAAAAGTTTCAGATAAACCTAGAAAGTCAAAAAAATTATACCATTTCTAGTTAGAAACTTGGAAATAACAATAATATGGTCCAAATTCAAAGTTTTACAAAGTTACTCAAACTGTGACAACTACAAGCTCATCAATCCAATATTTGCACCACTTTAAAGTACACAGCAGTAAATAAAATGAAAAATTTGCCAAAAAACCCCCAAACAAATGCTACTGAAACCTATAATCTTTGAAGAAAAATGGGAAACATCTAGCAAATTTTTTTCCCATTACCTAGACTAGGGACCAAATGTAACCTTCCCCCTACGCCCAAGCCTGTAGTCTATATACTTAAACTGATATTGTAATAAAAACATAACATAATAATGTATACCCTGCAACAGACAGGAACAAAAGTAGGCTATATTCCACAACAATGTAAACAATTCAAAAATTGGAAAAAATAAAAGGCATATGCCTAAACAAAATATCAAGTTTCAGGAAATGCACAAAACTATTGTGTCTTTTCAAACAAATTAAAAGAAGGGAGAAATTCTATGAAGCTGCACCTAGCAATGTTGTGATTATATAACCTGTGAATATATGAGATTTTATTATCGTGTCTAATTCTATGTGCCCATGACAATTACCTGAATAATACTGGGCCTGTGGATGAAGAGTAAAGCAAATACAAATATAGCAGGAGTATTCGACACACTTTCATTTTTTGACAGCAGTATTTCATGTTTCTTTCATGGCACAGTGAGATTTAATAAAACCCTGAATTATGGAATTTCTAGATCACAACAGCGTTACGCATAAAGAAATATTCACCTAGATCACAACAGCGTTATGCATAAAGAAATATTCACCTAGATCACAGAAGCGTTATGCATAAAGAAATATTCACCTAGATCACAACAGCGTTATGCATAAAGAAATATTCATTGGAATTCATATCAACAACTTCATTTGCATATATCATGACAAGATGGAATCAGGCGCTCCTCAGTTTTTGGGCATAATCATGGAGTTATTGGTATCATCTTAAGCTTGTTCATTTGTCTTGCTTTTGATGAAAAAGATACCCATCTTTCTTGAACAGAAGTTGAAGGAGTTGGGGGTGGCCAGGTGTCAGAGGTAAAGTTAGCAAGAAAATGGCCACCAAAGTCTGTTGAATTTCAAAGCTCCAGTGTTCTTGGATACTGGAAATTTACACTTTTTGTGCCTTTCTTCAAGGTTTTAAAGTAAAAATCCACACAGAAATGTGTTCTGAAATAGACAAAAAAGGTGTTGAGGACTCCCCCCCCCCCCAATTTTTTTTTTAAAAATTAAAAAATTGATACAAATTGCCCAACAGCCGCCAAAAAAACCCAACAAACTAGTTTCTTCAATTTCATTATTTTGAAGAGTGCCTGATTTCACCAAATTGCCATGCATATATATAAATAGAAATGACAAAAGTTTTTGTTTTAGTAGAGGTTTTACTGTGCTCACAACTGAATACGGTTATATGAGCGCTAAGGGGTGGATGTTAACAGAGAAGTCCTTTCAGGGAAATCAGACTTACTCTGCTCATCTCTTTAGCTTGAACAGCACAAAGTCTGCTTGGACTATCAAGGCACCCCGGAAATAGTGGGTCACAAGAAAGTGACAAACATACAAAAGAAGTAGAGGAAAAATGACAATAGTAAGGATTAGGAAAGAAAAAGCAGCAGTTCCCTGTTGCAGTTCAGGCACAGTTATGAGCATGACATTGATGAATCAGCCCATTTACAATTACAATTCTACTGTGCATAAGAACTCGAGATGTTAATGTCCCCCCTTTGGGAATGGCATGAAGACACTTCAGTCAGTAGCACCGCCCCAGGGGTACACGAGAGTTTATTTTAATTGATAGGAACAAAACAAAACAAACAAATGCGGCTTAAAAAATACAACAGTACCCAGACAACAGACCTTTGTATGCAAAAATAATATCAAAACTTTTTTAAAAAATCAAAAGGAGTTACACTCATCTAAATAAGACATCTAGACCAGGGGTTACCAAACTACATTTTGCAGGCCAGATCCTGCCCACATCCCAGCCACCTTGTGAGAGGAAAATAAACTTTACAAATAAATGTATTTGTTGCATGCTCAAGACTTGGTCACCAAACTGATTTCATTTCCTTAAACTCTAATGTGTAAATTAACATTCTTTTGCAGACTTCATACCTCCTAGCAAATGTATCATACACTTACTCGGTTTTAATGTCACAAATCTCTCATTTAACACATCATTATATTGTACTAAATAAAGTAGTTATCCGGCCCACACACGCCATTCTCTGTCATCTGGCCTACTTTGAAAAAAAGTTTGGGGACCCTTGATTTAGATCTATGTAAGAGTTCGAAAAAGTAGATTTTTCGAGACTGAGCAAGTACACTAGTAAATGCAAAAGGTTTTCTAAAAAATCATAATATTATGTAAACATAGTAACAAAACATACAATCCAAATATCCGTCTCGCAAAGCTGCTGGATCACAGGAATGCTGTAAGAGGACCAACATTACAAAACTTGGGATCACTGGTTCCGTGTTGGGGGTGTGTTATACTTCCACCTCAAAGCAGAGCGACGTATCTGACAAAATTGCATTTTTTAGCTTTATTGGTTTGTTACACTAGTCTTGCCCATGTCCTTCTTCAGCCAAAGGCAGGATGATGTATCTACATCCGAAATTGTAGTTAAAGGTAAGTAAAGGACTGATCTCAATAATAATAAGAGTCAAACATTTTTTTTCGCTTTCATGGAATGTGCTCCGCTTTTGAATGGCAGCATACTAAACTAACATCCTAATACTACTTACTCTGTTGCCAAACACACACACATCTGGTCCGTTAAACATGACCGGAATCTTTGGATTTCAAGGAATATAATATGCTTTAGACATGATTATGATCTCACTCGCATCAACTTGTAATCAGATCACTAAAACAGTGCAGCCTCTCTATAACGACATCATCGGGACCAGAAAAAAATGTCGTTATAGAGAGTTGTCGTTATGGAGAGGCAACCAAAAATATTACTAATGATATGTTAGGATAAAATTCAGGACCTGGGCACCATGTTGCTATATAAAGGACGCCGCTATATCGAATGTCGTTATAGAGAGGCTGCACTGTATTTAGATCTATAGCAAAAAAGAAACACAATGAAAATTCAATGAAGCACAACCAGAATCTACATGAAATCAGTGGGTACCAAAATCATTAAGTTTTGAACAATCGGTATTGGGATCACAGATTCAATCAACAATTAATCAGCACCCTCATTTATGAGCAAAGTTTTAATGCAACAAAAGAACAGATTAGCATAAACACATGTCCCAAAGTCAAAAAATGCAGCTAGGCGGAAGACATTCTAGTGTCAGACCTATTCATACTAATATAGACTGGTAGATATTATACATGTGTTGACATACAGGATATCGTATAGCAAACAAAGTAACATTACAATGAAAAGCAACAATTCAACCAAAGTTATAAATACTGAAAAAAGAAGAACTTTTGTATACAAAAAGCATTTCAGAGGAATGTAACAATTTAGAATCACAACCATTGAATGTGGAAGGCATATGGATCATGAAAGAATTGCGAAGCTATGTATCTTCATTGCCAGTTCAACATTTTGCAGTTAATGTTCATGACAAAATAAAACCAATGAACATCTAAGGTCACAAGAGTCAACCGAAAACGGGCACAGAAAACAGACCTTTGAGGAGTACGACAAAAGGGACATACAAAACGGTTGTAAACTTCTTAGGACTCCATCACAACAATTCAGATCAATAACAAGATCTTGTCTGACAGGGCCAGTGCAATAATAAATACATTTATGGCATCCATACATTCACAACGGCATGCTCAATCAGCTTTACGACTATTATTACCTCAGCGCCCTAGAGAGGAAATTGGTCACATGCGAGATGAAATGCTTAAGAAGAGCCATCAACAAAACAGTAAGAGACAAAATTAAAAATGAAGTCATAAGGGACACCGTGGGAGCAACACCAGTCCTACCACAAATTGAAAAACAAAAGGTCAAGTGGTTCGGACACCTCACGTGGATGCCCTCAAACCATCCAGCTCTGAGAGCATACAACACTAAATATTCTGGATGGAGAGCCAGAGGAAGACCAAGGCGACGATGGAGTGAATCTGTGGCAGACACCCTTAGAGCTCACGGGACGTCCCTCCTACAGGCCACTCGTCTTGCTGCAGACAGATGCCTGTGTCTCCCCGCGACACCCCAGGGTACAAGCCGAAGAATAAAGTAAAAAGTAAGTATTACCTCAGCAGACAATACATAACTCAGAAACATTCTCTGCTCTCTGGGATGCATATCACGACCTTTGCTTTTTCGTAGTTTCTCCATTTTTTTTAAAACATTGAAAATGTGACTTCTTCTTAAGCTCACTCTTTGTTATAAACTGTTTTCATCGTTTAAAAAAATGGAGATACGACAAGAAAGCACTGAGGTCGCGATATAGTGAAAGCTGCTTTTTACGGGAGCTCAAACACTAACCTAATGAAAAGACTTTTCACTGTCTATGACCAGGTACTCATTCACACCTAGATGAAGCGAGGAAAATTCAAATAAAGTGACTTTCCCAAGTACAAACGGTCGGACTGAGCTGAGTGGCGACCCCCCCCCCCCCAAACCTGTTACTTCATGATTATGTGTCAAGTAGCCTATCCGAGCTGAAAGACAGAGATATTTGATAAAGATTACTTTAAAAGGCAAGAAACCAACTCACATCTTACTCTAACAACAGCAAAGGGCTAGCCATTCTACCACAGATACCAGTAAGAACAAATACGAGAATATGCAATCAAATTGACTAGCAGATTAATATGAAACAATGGAAATTGCAACACTTCACACCACAACAATCACAACTCATAAAGAATAATTATCAAGTATACACACAACAGAATAATGAAATGGAATCATATTGCATATTTCAAAATGCTGAGAAACAAAGCAAGTATAAGTAGCGTGTTGTTTAAGTCTCTTCTTGCAGCCAAACACAAAGAGTGATAAAAAAACATGAACAAGAGAAAGTCATTTCAACTTCTTTTCTGTTTCTACGAATACAACAGGTGAAACAGAAAGACTTGGGGATGAACAAGAACAACATCCTTTTCCAAAAAAAAAAAAAACCCAGTTAAAAAACGGCATGAACAACAGGGCTGCCTACCTAGAATTTTCTCATTTCATGTAGATTTAGGGTCAATTTCAGGTATTTTGACCAAATATCAGAACGTACAAAGACAAAGAAGGAAAAAGAAGAAGAATATTACATTTTTCTTGGAATAAAGCATATGATTGATTGGAGCTAGTCTCTAGTAATATTATTATTATGGAAAATTATAGTTTAAAAATTTGTGTGTGCATGTGTGTGTGTGTTAAGGTGTATGTCTGGGCTTGTATAGGTGAAGGTGAACAGTGTTAACATAATGAGATGTGTTTATTTTAAAAATATTTTTGGACAGTCGCTCAAGCCACCTTTCAATAAGTATTGAATGTGGATTTGAACAAAAGGTGACTGCCAAACTGACTTCAAAATCCATACCCCATACCAATAAAGACTATTCTAAAACATATTTCCTACCAATGAGAGGCCAACAGGCCACTGGTTGAGCAAGTGCACGATGCAACTCAAATTGAAATCTTTTTTGCCTTTTTTAACAGAAAAATTGAGATCTAAGTTTTCCAAGCCACTTTTGTAACTATCTGGTAAGCCTTGTTCAGTATCAGAATCCATAAAAACGGAATGGTAATTCACTTAGAGCTTGGACAATGTGCAAGTTCAACCTAAAATTTTAAAAATGCTATGCTGGATCTAAAAAATACCCGTTGTCACTCACCTCATCCAAAAAAATGAAATGCCCACGAAAGCTACACTAAAGGGTCAAAGGATGCAGCTACTGGTCTAAACAGACATTGCATAACATGCCTTCCTTTTCCGTAAATGCCAAGACTGATCCCAGGTTGGTAAATAGTGTAAACACAAGTAAGAAATTGAAACTGACATGGGTGCTGGTTCTGTATTTCTCATATGTCTTGGCCTACCGATATCAGTATTGGCAATTGATGAGTTATTGGGGTTCTGTGTGTTGCTCATGTTGGAAACAAAACAATAGCAAAGGACCAGTAACATTGCCAAGAAACCCACCATGATAAAGAGACCTACTAGACAAAAATATCTCAAAAGAACATGTTCAATCAGGTCCAAATCACACATTCCCGTATATTGATTAATTTAAAAAGTTTTAAGCCCACATCAGTACAATTTTCATTATTTGGGTTTTCTGTGTCTTGGCCAAGCTCGAAACCATGGCACTCGGCCAGTAAGTAGCATTCCTAAGAAACGCACCACAAAAAGGTGACCGGCAAGACAAAAATATCTCAGAAGAACGTGTTGCTGTGCTCATACTCCTGTTGATCCAATTGTTCGTTGTCTGGCCCCCTGGCCTTGGCTTTGGCCTTGACCTCTTCATCCGTGAGGTACTCCTGGTACTTGTACCAGCGGGCAATCGGGATGTAGCCCAGGAAGAACAAGATCATGAGGCCACCGAAGAGAAAGAAGACATACTCTGCTTTCCCCTTGTTGATATCGTCAGGGAACCAAGGATCTGGGAATATGAGAAAGGATTTCAGTGAACCAAAATCACACAGACACTAAGCAGTTGGATATTAAGCCTTAAGATAAAACAAGACAGAAAAACACAGGGAAATTTAAAAAATTGGATATTACATTTCAAGATACAAAAGAAAGAAGAATCCCATGGACACAATGCAGTTGAGTATTAAATTAAATCTCAAGATACAAAACAAACCTTGTCTGTGAGGTCCAACCTCTACTGACTAGAACAAAATGTCCCAGCGAACAAACACAGACACTTGATAAAAGAAATTCACCCCATGTGAAACCAGTTCATGTCATCTGGACATAATGGTAAGAACATAATGATTTAAACACAGAAGTTCAAGAATGCTCTGTGGTGAGGTTCAAATTCCAGTCAACCGCATCACTCCAAAATTATACCAAGAGAGACAACAGCTTGACTGTTGTTTAATTTTCATTTAAATTTAACGTCCGGCTTATCATTTTAAATGCAGACCGAGAGCACTTTGTGCCTCGCTTGGACAGCTGGTGAAGGAGTAGCGTACTCCAAGTACAAGACCCAGGAGAACCTCACTCAGATTTGAACACTAAACATTTCAGATTAATTGTACATATTTTATTTCTTCACCAACACAATGTAAACCATTTAGCAAGCAATTTTCTTTGACTCTGCCTGTCAGGGCTAACACAGATTGGGCAGGATACAGCATCATAGAAGAAAGATGGAGGTACTTGACAGAAAAAAACTTCCCCGAGAGGGAAGCAAACTCATTTTCTCTAATTACAATGGTGAAGAGCCTAAATGTTACACCAAAGATGGTGGTAAACATTTCAGAGACAGCAGAGTTTGTGACTTACTAGGTCAGAATGGTCATTTCTGTTATTATAACATAAATAGGGATCAATGAAAACTAAATAAGAGTCATCCATTCCTCACCATCTTTTGTCACAGCCTCAACGATTGCCAAGATGGCTGTGCTTAAGTAACTTCCCAGACCATTGGTGGCCAGGAACACACCCATAATGGCTCCCTGGAGGGTTTTGGGAGCTTGGGTGTAGGCAAACTCATAACCTGAGAGAAGAAAAAATATACACTGGAGAAGAAAACACATGCACTCCAGGGATCACCAAAGAATTTTTTTCAAGGATCCCAGAAGAGCCAGCTAAAAAATGTGAGAAGACTTTGCTGGTGCCAAAATTTTAGGCCTACCAGCTTAACACCCACGGGATCAACCTCACACTTGGCTTTCAGTACCCAGGACCGGTGCTGCCATCCAATTTCTGACTCTGCGAGACATGTGTTACTCTAATTTGAATAACTTGGCCCCTAGTGAAGTTATAGACATGAAACTTCACCAAACTATTAAGAATGTGCGCCTGTGCTCAGACAAATTTTTATTTAAAAAATATATTGGTTGTGTAGCGACTAACTTTAAACCAAATTGTTGAGGTGTGTTGTTTTTATGTGTAGCACGTCGCACTTGAGTTCATGAGTAACAGTTCAGTGAAAGTGTCCAAGCTGTTCGGGTGGAATGTATTAAAGTTATGTCTCGTCCAGCAACGACTTACATGTGTGTGTGCCTCTTCATGTTACAGCTGAGTAATTTATGTGCAATCAATTATGTAATATTAAACTTTTGTCCAGAGTCAGTACCTATCAGAATAACAGACTAGATCTAGATCTATTTATAGAGTAAATTGCTCCTCAATCAGTGAGAACTAGTTCTAGATCTATCTGTTATCGCTTTCTCCTCGATTGGAAAACTTTTGATCCAAATAATGAAGGTGATTGTCCAAGTCAATACTTTCAGTGTTCATATGAATTTCGTCAATCATCTCGTGTTCGGTGAAATATTTATCTTTTCTAAACTAATTTTATCGCTTTCCATATTTAATTGCCATAAATCGGAAGCAAAATAACTAAACGGAACTAATCATTGGGTTAACAAAAAAAATAAATGTGCTTGGGGAAACTTGACTACGTCATTTCGCTTGCAAGTATTCTCGTCCGCAGTCCCACAGATGTTAAACTTCTGGTTAGTGGAAATTTTTGTGTCTGTTGTTCTGGAAGCTGTCCATATTATATCAAGGAACCTTGAAAGAGAAAGCTTTCAGATGGTCAAGTTTTACCATGATTGTACAATACAGTATGTTTACATTTCATTTGATTTCATCCATACAATCTTTGAAGCTCCCTGATCATGGAATTCTAGTAGTCATGTTTTGTTGAAAATATTTTCAGTTTGTAAGGCACATGTATTTTTACAGCCCTACATAGGGTTTTGCTAAGTAAAGTTACTGACTATGCCAAAGGCAAATTTGTTTACATATGGCATATAATAAAAACAATTAATTCCATGCAGTCTTGAAATCAGCAGAATCTGCATGTAGTGTGACCAGAGCATTAGGAAAAAACTAGAATATTGCCTTGAAGTCAAGTTTTGGGGAGTATATCAGCTGTAAAATGATGTAATATTATTTTCACCATTGAAAAATAAGTATATATTGGTTCAAAAAAGTATTTGTTGAAAAGTGCATTGAACATTCACAGAGTGGAAGCAGGTTGTGACCCAATGTTACCACAATTCATAAATTATCAGAAATCATCCTGTACATATACATTTAAAAATATCAACTACAACAGACTAGAATGGGAAAGACTCACCAGCTATACTGGTAAAAGCCTCCCCGGCCCCAACCAGAAAAAATTGTGGGGCCTGTATAAACACGGACACATTGGCTGCATAGAAAGATTCCTTCCCGACCACCTGGTGGAAACCGAGATGTTTCTTTCTCTCAATCTCCACACCTCCTGCAAGGAAGACCGAGGAAGCAGACAGGAGAAAGCCAAAACCTGAAGGGACAAAAAGATTGTCACATAATATAGATTACATCTTGTTTAAGGTAATCTATTTTTACTCAACAATATTATAAGATTATTTCCTTTCCTGTGCAATTGTGAAAAATAAATGGGGAAAACATTTTGACATCAGCACAAGGGAGTCATTTAAAAATAGCACTGGTAACATCACTCAATCAATATCAAATGTTTGGCTTTTAGAGACAACTGTCAGCTTGTTCGCAGTTACACAACACAATTACTTCTTTGGCAAAGCCTTTAAAATGCAGTGCCATCAGAATAAATATAACAGAACAGTAGATTTGCTTTTATTTTCTTTCGTATCTGTTATTCTGTGACTTTGAATGAATTGAATATTTTTTGGACAAGGATGAATAAAGCAAATCTTTTAATTCATTCTTTCTCTTCTTAACTGGGAAAAATAAAACTTCACCAAAGTGACCAAATGTTTTTATTTTTCATCTCACAAACAGGAACAACACACACTAACCAATTCTCTGTAAGTAAGAGAGTGGCCGTCCCAAACGTTTGAAGCAGGGGTAGACCAGCCTGTCTAAGACAGGGATTATGATTAACACAGCTACTGTGTTAAAGGCATTGAGGAAAGCCACAGGGATGAGAACACTGCCCAGACTCAAATCCATTCTCTCTCCTTGAAGAAAATATGTGGACTGCATCTGTGGAATAGAAGAATGTGAAATGTGTCAGTCTTTTTTCGTCTCAAGTATTACAGCGAAAAAAAAAAATGGAAAGGGGGTTGGGGGGTTAGATACAAGAGACTCCTCACCCAAGCTCAATACATAGCTTCCATTTGGTCTTAGATCATTTGATTTTGACTATCGTCTATTGGAGAAATTGAAGAATTTGCAAGATTCAAATATAAATTAAATCATAAACATATCTAACAATAAAGAATATCAATACACTACATCAACAACGGTGTGTCTATATTGTCTTTGTACTTTGTATCCAAATTTCCCCTTCACGGATCAATAAAAAGGCATTTTTTTTCTCATTTAATCTTCAACTACGTTATACAAGGAACACACTATTAATTGATAACACTTCTGAGCAATGACTTTTGACCAGTTTTCACTTATCAAGTACAGAGAAAACATTCACACTCAAGAAAACTGTCACAGGGAGTCATTACATATAGAACAAAAGGAATACAAACAACATAGCATACCTGAGAGTAAATAGCCCAGAACATAATGACAAAGAAGAAAACTGGTAACATTCTCAGTATAGCAATCACACCATCAACGGTGAAACTGTCGAAGCCGCCGCCGTACTCTCGACGGGCCGAGTCAAACATTCGTCTTTTACCATCGATGAACGGAGACTGGCGGCAAATACCTTGACCACAGATCCGGAACACTGACCCTAAAACACTTCCTAAAGGACGTCAGAAAAGAGAAAGAAAAAAACCTGTTAGTAATGAGATGTTTCAAATAAGCACAAGGCCTGTTAGTGTGTATCATCAACTATGATACACAACCTGGATCAATAACAACAAAGAAGAAATTTGGATAAATAAAAACATTGTTCTGTTATGAGTAACATTTAACTGGTTAGATCATATATAAAAATAAAATTGAAAAATAAAAACAAAAGTCAAATTTGTCCAATACAGTCACCAATTATCAAGGAGACAAGTGATCATCTTAAACAGGTGGACCTCTTGGTCAGAGTCGTTATGTGAGGCATCGCAGCACTGTTTATTCTTGGCTTTTTCAAAGCCACCAAAAAAAAGATACGAGCAATGTGTTATGACCATGATGACATGCAGTGAAGAAGCAGAACGGGCATGTATTTGGTGTGAATCGCAAAACAATAATGACCTATGAATATGTTAGTTTTTGCTAATATTGATATGCAGTCGAAATTGTCTACGGTGGTTGTCCGTTGTTGAGTAGAAAAGCGGTGGTCTTAAAGAGGTGGACATCTTACACACTGTCATTATTATATAACGTAAACAATTTTCAAGGGAGGAAATGGGAAGTGGCCACTTGTACAGATGATTGTCTTTAAATACAGGAGGCCATTAGAGAAGGTTCGACTGTACATGAAGTAATCCCTGAATGGGGTGCAAGATTATGGAATGAAATTCACTACAGACAAGTTCACTCACCCTCTCCCTCCTTGTAGATGTACTTCTGTCGAGCCACATTCAGCAAGATCAGAGCCAAAAACATGGACAGTATGGGGATGAGGAAGCCCCAGGCAAAACTGATGTTCTGTTGGACATAGGCTATGGCAGTGAAGGCCACCAGTCCCCCAGCGTTGACGAAAAAGTAAAACCTGATAGAACAGAACGTAGTGTTATCTTAGGGGTCAAATTAGCTTAACTCTTTACACACCAGCGAGTTTTCTACTCTTGCACCAGGCCACTGTACAGCAAGTTCAAAGTGGTGTTAGGAAATAGTCTGTTACCAAAATCGTTTTATCTCTGAGGCTAGTATCAAATAAACCTATTCAGTCAGCATTATTGTAAATAGATTTACGCTTTTGTAAGCATTGAGAAATACTGGAGCAGAAAAGGAATAACCTATTGACAATAGATTGCGGATTGGCCAGAGAAAAGTTTTCACTAAAACAGACACAAAAATGAAAAGTAAAATAATATGTTCTCCAAATCATATACTTTCAAAAATTCAATTATGAAACTATCCATCTTATTAGATAATGTCTCCTTTTCTTATCATTTAAGTTTTCACTCTTGACAAAAGAAAAAGTTATGACATCTGGAATGGTCTCAACAGCTTGAAAAGGTAAAAAGTCTGAGAAAATTTTTTCTGAAACACAGTATGATAATAAACACTTAAAGTGAGGGAAGACTGAAAATCTAAACTGGCTTTCAATAAAATATCACATATTAAAATAAATATTAAGTCCTTCCATTGGGGTATCTTAAAGTCTCAGGTGCATGTGCGTGCGCCCACATGTGAGAGGATAAAATAGAGGTACGCTCATGAGGACTGTCTGAGAGTGAGCGCCAAAAATAGGACCAAATGTTTTCATTCAATGATTCACTGAACACCCACTGTGCATAACCTGCGCTGTGAGAGTACTTGATATTTCCTGTCACTGTGGGCAGCCTCCAGAAAAACTGGCTACCGAGAGGGTAATGAAGTGCCCTTATCTGACCTGATTGTTTATCTTGTGGATTGCCACCTACCAGTTGAAGTAGATCTGCACAGCATCCGCCCCCAGGTCCTGCACCTGCTGAGCACCAAAAGGTCCTACATTGGCCTTGATGCCCCCTGTGCCTATGGCCACAAGAACTAGACCCAAGATGTAGAAAGTGCGACGGCCTTCCTGGTGGGAAACAAGGAGAAAAAGAACCACACTGACTTACTTCATGTTAGAACTGAACATGTAAAGAAAGGTTTTTGATTTGCACCTTGTGTAATTACTCAAGATAAATTAAAAGTTCCTGATTCTACGTTCAATGAAAAGAGTTCAAATACAATTTGAAAAGTCAATGTAAACTTTTTGCCCCCCCTCTTTTTGCTCTTTCCTATATTTGAATCAAGGAAATGAATAAAATACTAAATTTTAAAATTAGCTTTCCAGAATTTGCTGGAGCAAGAGCGATCAACGCAAGTTTTTAAAAGTAAAAGCTGTCTCTTTACCAACAAAGAAAAAAATTAGGTCTATTACTTTGCAGTCACTTGGTGAAATAATGCGATAGTGAAAATTATCCATTCTGGTCACCCGAGAAGTCCGTCGCAGTCACCCTTCTAGCCGGGTGACCAGATGGTGTACAGTCAAACCTGTGTAAGACGGCCACCCATTGTCAAGGAGAAAAGTGGCTGTATAAGACAGGTGGCCGTCTTAGGCAGGACTGATCAAGATGAAGAAAACAAAACCATTCCCATCTGAGGCTGAGGTCCCAATCGAAAGTAGCCGCATTGTTGCTGTTTTTGTTGTTGGTTTGTATTTTGTTCGTAATTTTTATTCTGTTGCTGATTTTGCGCAAGGGTGACAATAAAACGAAATGTATCAGACGAGGAAGACCGAGTGCCATGTTAAAACAAACACATTGGTCGCCACCACTCGGAGAACGAGCGACGCTTCTGTCACAAGTTCAGGTTGACATCCATTGTTACAGACTGGGTAACCAGTGACTACTCCTCTCACTTATGATTTGTGTACGAGTTCTGGGCGGGGCTTATGGGTTATGAGGGATCACACGCTTACCTCACCAGCAGCTGAAAATTGGTATCTATTGGTCAACAGTGGGAGGGGCCTACGCAGCATGATCGGTTGGAGGGACTACCTAACAACAACGACAGGCGATGGAATTATGACGGCTCACCGACAATGCCAGGGGCCAATGCACAATTTATGACAAAACGTAATGAGGTTACTAAGGTGGCCGTCTAAGACAGGTGTTACTGCTTAGTGTGATAGGGGTTGTGTGTTAAAATATGGTGGCCGTGTTGGACAGGTGCCCATTTTACACAGTTAAATTATATAGAAAAAAAGCAAGGGGGGAAGTGGAAAGTGACTATTCGTACAGGTCGCCGTCGTACAGAGGTGGCCGTCAGGGCAGGTTTGACTGTATTTTGTACTGCCGGCTGTGTGACTGCAAAATGTTAATGTTAAGTTAGCACAATGCTAAACTTGGTGGAGATGTTAGGCTTATATATTATTTTTCCTGGACCACTGACTGAACAAGAAGCTTCTTTTTTCTATAAGACGTTTCATGATGTTATAATACTGGGACATCTTCTTTATCAGTACTCAGTAGGTGGATGACAGTCAATTCAGGTATGATCAAAAGCCACATGTGCCCAAAAATAACTCCTTAGCCCTGGAGTAATGGTGGTGAACGACTTTGCTTCTAAGTTATTCAAACATGGGATGGACAGACTGCCAAACTGTCCTGATGCTGTCACATGAATATTCTTTCTTCTTTTAAATTATGTGGAAGAAAGGGGAGGTGTTGGGATGATGGGAGAGGGAGAGATGATATCAATTCAGTTATGTCCCATTTGGGACAGAAAGCAAAGCGGACACTTTTGCAAAACACAATGTCTCTTCCAATATTTCAAAACCATCATTTGCAAGATAAACTAAAGACTGATCAAACCAATATGGACAGAACACAACTGGTGTTTACATAATACATGTTTGAAAAATGACTACATTTTTCCAATACTTACTGTTTGCATTTCATTGTCAGGATCATCAAACACACTGCTGTACTCAATTGATGAACTCAGAAGCGAGAATAGGCCTATAGATATTAAAAGTGAAAAAAATGTCAACACTTTCATGGAATTTATTTATTGATGTGAAAAGTAAAGTAACTAACAAAGTTCTGAACCTAAAATATTTCAAGACAAGTATTACCATTCGAGAAACAAATAAATATTGTTCTTTTCTAAAATAGTTGCTGTTTGTGGCCACATTGCAGCAGAATATAGTCAAAGAAAATAATTATAACAATAAAAAAAAAAGTAGAATAAGCAGAACCGAGCCAGCGTCTGTGGTGAAGCAATTAGGTACTTTGTTGTCACATGCAGAAGATCGGAGTTTGATTTCTGTGTGGGGAAAAATTATCATTAAATACCTGGGTCTTTCAGCTGGGACATAGTCTACCTCTCTCAGCCCGTGTTGGCTCTGACAGGTAAGGTTGAAGCCAACCTTCTAAATGATCTAAATTGTGTAAAAGGGAAAAAAACAAACTTAGGGCTTTTTTTTGTACAGAGCAGGCATGACAAAACTCCCTTACTACTCTCAGAGAGCAAAATCTCATGTGCAAGTGTGAAACTAGATAATAAAGGGATAAAACATAATTAAGGAAGATTTCCTGAAACTTCCGATTGCAAGCAAAGCACATACATACTGGAGTATGAAAAATGTTAAACGTGACATAAATAGCTATCAACAGAAACAACAAAAAAAAAAAACCCCACCACCAGAACATAAAAAATCTGAGCATCTCCCATTTACTCAATTACGGTAATTTTGAGAAAAGCAGAAAAGACAAAAAAAGAGAAAAGCTCTTAAACGAGCCCAAACATAAACATTATAAACATTTCTCACCACAAAAGTATATAAGGCCAGACCCGAATATCACATTGAACCTGCTGGACCAAGCATCAGCGATGTAGCCGCCAATAATCGGAATGAAGTAGACAGTTCCTGTACACAAAAAAAGCCAAAGATAAAATATGTCCTTCTTTTGATTATTGAAAAACTTCAAAATCAAATACAAAATCACCATGGGGCTATCGTGTATCTGTGTGTGTGTGGGTGTGTGTGTGTGTGTATGTGTGTGTGTGCGTGCGCGCGTATGTGCGCATGCCCATACATGCTTGGGTTTGCGTATGAGTAGCATATATAAGAGCATGTGTATGCATGTGTGCATCCATGCCTGCATACATGCAGGCATATTTGTGTGCGTGTGTGTGCATGAGTGCATGCCCATACATGCTTGGGTTTGCGTTTGAGCATATTTATTATTATATGTGTATGTGTGTGTGTATGCATGTGTGCGTGCAGCTGCATGAATGCACGTATATGTGTCACACGTGTGTGAGTGTATGTGTGTGTGTGTGTGTGTGTGTGTGAGTGTATGTTTGCGTGTATGAGAAGCTATCTCACCTGAGAAGACAAGACTGATGGTGGTGGCGGTGTTGCTGGTATAGTCGAGCACGCTGGTACAGTACAGCACCAGGTTGGCTATGACCCCGTAGTAGGCCATGCGCTCACACATCTCCACCAGGAGCACACACATGATGATGGCCAGCTTCTGGGGGCTGAATGTACTAAGCTACAGGTTCAGAAAGGACAGAAGTTTATGTTTTAGTAAGTCTTTTACGGCACTTGCAACACAATAAGGCCATATAAGTGCCGAAGATTAGAGGTGTTACAAGAGAGTAACAAGCACAAAAAAGAAGGAGGGATAAAGACGATAGATGTTTGATAGGAAAGAAGAAGCAAACCACACTAGAGCACCCGCCAACCACCCACAAGGACAGAATAGTTTAGTTTTAGTGGAGGTTTTACGGTACTTGCAACACAATAAGGTCATATGAGTGCAGAAGATTAGAGGTGTTTCAAGAGAGTAACAAACACAAAATAGAAGGAGGGATAAAGACGACAGATGTTTGAAAGGAAAGAAGAAGCAAACCACACCAGAGCACTCGCCAACCACCCAGAAGGACAGAATGACACTGTTCAGTTTTAGTAAAAGTTTTACAGCACTTGCAATTTACAATTAGGTCGTGATATAAGGTTAGAGATGTTATAAGAGAATAACAAACACAAAAAAGAAAGAAAGATAAGGATGATAGAAGTCTGATAGGATAGAAGGAGTTAATCACACCAGAGCACCCGCCAAGCACCCATGAACATCACCGAATTGACAGGGATGCCACTGGGATTTTGTGAAAATACAATTGAAATTGTCCTTTAATCCTCTTCTGCTATACTACATATCTCTTTCATAGCCCTATCCGTACGTCATGTTTTACTATCGTATACATACAACGTTGGGAACTCTGTGCCCCCACTTTCCAAAGAGGAAATTTATTCGTTGATCTGATCCGTACGATTTCATTGATAAATACTAAAAGTTTCAAAGGGATCTTCGAACTAGAAGTATTCTAAAATGTGAAGAATACAACTCCTGGGGTACAAAATGACCCCAGGCGTACAGATAGTGTTAAAGAAGCATAAATATGACACAGTACCCCTAACATATTAAAGATGCCCATCCAATGAGGAGGTGGAAAGTGCTGTACAGGCGACTGCCTTGTACATGTGGCTGTTATAGCAGGTTCGACTGTAACAAAAAATTTACGAAGTAGCATTTGGAAGAAAAAAAGATAGCCAACCCAGCGAAGTAGGCAGAGAGTAATAACATTTCGATAATGGAAATGCAGAAATAAGGATTACAGAAGATGGATACTATTGTTATTTAGGGATTGTTCTGGAGCTTTTCTTCAGAAATACTGGTGGCACCATAGGAAACAATAACCTTGTGTCTGCTTTCAGACTTGAAATAACTTTTTAAAACAATAGTGCTAATCTGTTCTCCAGGATGTCCATTATACAACTCTTTTCACTCTTTAACTCTAGGTCGCCATTTCAGTGGCGTTTGGGGATACCAATTTCGTCAACCCCAAGATCTACACTGGGTCCTGTGCTACATTTACAACATACATGATGTATATTTTCACCATATTGTGACTTTTTGTCCAATAACAAATAGTTTGAGTGTTCACTCAAACAAACCCATCAATATTAGACTTCACAATAGTCGTTTTAAGGTAACACATTTCGCTGCCTCAAATTGAGTGTGTAAAAATGTGGAATCCCTTGTGTACTATTGAAAGAGTTAGTCAAGTAATCATCATATAAATTTCGTGAAGTCAATCAAAACTTTTTAAAAAATGTTTCCATTAATTGTTTCTTTCGCTTTAAATTTTCCAAGTGCAAAGGAAACAAATATAAAGAACAAAAACATGACTTCCAAACATTTCTAAAACTCGTGCTAAGCATCATCATATAAAAGTGTAATTTATTTACCTATTTATCATACATTTCAGACAAAAATGTAACTAGAAGTTTTACACCGAGGAGGCAGGCTGCTTTGACCCTGTCTGTTAGGGCCAACCTGAGCCCACAAAGGCTACAGCATCCAATCAGAAAGTCTAAGATACTTGATGAAAATTCATCCTTAGCAATGGTGAAGCACCTAATCACTACATCACAGATGCTGATGATAGAAATGTGAGGGGAATACATGTTGAGCACAAAGAATAGCATACCTTCGGCTCATATTTGACATTCACTTTGGTCCTTTGTCTTGCATCTTTGGCAAACTCGTCATCGCTGATGGTCAGTGTGCTCCACTTCTTGGGTTTCAGAAGTGGTTCGCTTTCACTTTCACTCGCTTCCAACATTTTGATAGCTTCTCAGACTATAGCCAACTGCCAGCCGCGAAAGAACAAATTTGCTTTTTAAGTATATATTCTGTATTTAAAGCCTAAAAAGAAGACTGTGTGGCTTTTGTCATAAATCAGGCGTCAGTTTCCAGGACATATTTTCTTCAGTCCTTTTCTCGTCAGTTATGATCAGTGTACCAAATGGCAATGTTTCATCAAGGGGACATGGTGTATTTCTGGGAACAGTAAAAAAAAGAAGAAGAAATTGTAAATAATTGCAAGTAAATATTAAATAAAACTAAAACACACGGTCTCCTTTTCTACTATACTACTTTTTTTTCTCCAAATATTGTACACCCATAAGAGAAGCATAAACATGGTGCAGTACCCCTAATTAACCTATCAATAGCAGCACATGACTTGCATTTGAGTTTCTAAATATCAAACAGAAAAGTACAAACACACTATACTTTTCGATAAAACAGGACCTGTGGATCCAATAGTGACCGCCCCTCTCTCTCTCTCTTTCTCACTCACTCTCCCCTTTGCCCCCCCCCCCCCCCCCCACAAAAAACCCGTGTCAACACACACACACACACACACACACACACACACACACACACACACACACACACACACACACACACACACACACACACACACACACACACACAGTACCTACGTACACACTGAGTTCTAAGGAAATATCCCATCACTAAATTTAACGCCTATAATTACACTGTCCAGTTCATCAGAAACGAGTAACAAGTGCGGCCTGGGTGCCCGTAATAAGATTCTTTTGTTGATCACTTTACACATAAGATTGTCAAAGGGTTTCATTGATTGTAGACCTTACTGTTTTACGCCCCCTTCAACTTCGTCAGGGCAGACCAGGGTAGAATGGGATTGACTCCCAGCAGAAAAATGGAGAAACTTCATGAAATAGACTTTCAAAGCGGGGATCGAACAAATGTCTTTTGTTCGAACAGGGAAGAGCCTTGTCAAAAGATCAACGTAGAATTTAGTTGGATTTGGTCGGATTGTGCCAAATTTTCCCCCTCCGTGACGGAAAATCTGGTCGACTCCAACAGAATCAAATTAATCAAATTGGTCCCATTCCCATTGCAGGAGAAGCTGTACGGGCCAACAGAACTGAGCAGGGCGACTCAGTATACAAAATATGATCGACAACGGACTTCCACGTGAGATGCTATCGAGAAGAAGAAGATAAAATTGGCAGTGTGCAATAATCACCACACGACAATTGTCGGCTACCAAGGCGATCGACACTAAAATTACACTGTTTTCTGCTAAGTACCTAATTAAAATAAAAATAATTTAAAAAAAAAGAAATTTGGAGTTTAAAATCGGGAGCTTCACAAAATAGTCATGCTTTTTTTAAATGCAATTCTTTGAATGTCTTGATAACGACCCCGAATAATCTTACGATTTTGAACTAAGGCAGCGACTTGCAACATGTCCTATGTGCACAAGGCACCCACTCATTAACCACGGGCAATGCGAACAGCTGTACATTGGTATGTGTACTCCTCGCCGACACCTTATCGGGGACTTCAGAATCACATGCTATCATTAAGATGCTCTCAAACGGTTACGAGTACCAGGCTCTTCTTGTCTCAGATGTTACACAGCATAATAACAAACACATGAGTCTGATTTCTTTAAACGTGGGTGTTTTACGCCCTCATCGACACAATTCAGATAATTTAGGAGACGGGCATCGACCCTGCCTGCCACTGTTAGCCCGGCGTGAGAAAGATACACAACGTAGCAGCAGAAAGACCGAGATCGCTGGTGCTTAAAAAAATTCTCCCCGCAGAAGAATGGAAACTGACTCTTCTGCGTGCGACAACAAAATGTCAAATTTTTGAGTCCACAAAGACGCAAAACGAACGTCAGTCTGCATGGTACAAGTGTTGGTGTAACGGTCCTTTCAACATTGTAATTTAACGCCCATCTCCGAAAGAAGAACAGAATAAAAAAGGTGGAGAGCCTTGAAAATTCCTCACCAAAAAAATCCCGAGCTCAAGAACGCCCAAATAGTGATGCTTCGAACTTGAGTCATCCGCATCATACCCCAGTATAGTAGTACAAACTGTGTTAGCAGAGCGCCCACAAACGTCTGCTAAAGCTAGAGAGAACTGCCTGTTGAACATTTCAAGTAGCGCACCTTACTTCAGGGAATTTTATTTCATGATCATTCATATCAAAACACGGTTTGGTTGAAAGAACATTTCTTTCTTTCTTTTTTAAAAGTCACCATTCAACATAATATATAAAACCAAAAGAGAGCCTGCTATACTTAAGTACTTAAGTTATGTTACGCATAGGTACAGGGCAAATGCACTTTTGGTCCTTGCGGTCATGTCTGGTTTAGTAAGCATTTTGCGGCACTTGCAACATAATAAGATCATGAGTGCCGAAGATTACAAGTGTTATAACAAACACACACATAACAAGGAGGAGAAAAAATTATAGCTGTTTTATAGGACAGATAGAGCAAACCACACCAGAGCACCCGCCAACCACCCACGACCTTGTTGTCAGAATACAAGGGCAGGGACAGACCGCGCAAAACTTTGCTGGATGGCGGTAAAGAGGTCCCCCCAGAAGAATAAAATCAACAGCAGATGCCACCCACCTGGCCTTTGACGGAAAATTGCATGATGTCCTCGCGATATATCTTACTATACAAGAGGAAGGACAAGGTACAATAAGTTACGACCTGATAAATACGTTGGGGTAGGAGAATGTTTGGCACCGGTACTATTATTATAACTTGATTAACTTCCTAAATAAAGCTTTAGATTCCGCAAGCTCTGTGCCTGTTGGTTTATGGCTCTTTGTCCTTTCGATAGCATCACCTTTTTACTTGTTTATTTCGTTTTATTTTTTGAGGGTACTCTATCTAATGCAAGTACCTCATCTGAAGCGACGCCCCCAATAGAAGAATAGTGACAGAAAGTAAAACTTTTTAAAATAAGTCTCTCCATGGCGTACGGAACAGACCCTGTTATTCAAAATAATGGAAACCCAGAGTACGATAATGATAATAATAATATCATGGTCCACTTTTGCCCATAACGGCCTGACCTGTAGTTTCTGCTGGCAACGATGATGAAGCTCCTCTTACCATATTCTTCGGCGTCGCCGTTAACTACTATAGCATAGGTAGGCTACAAACCAGATCATTGTGGGTGTGTATGGTCTCTCTCTCCCCCCCCCCCTCCCCCACTTTTTCTGAGACCCAAGAATATTATGTGGCCAATAAAGTTAAGATAAACAAAAATACTAATTTATCAAAGTACACACATATATTGGAAAGTAATAATGGAAACTGAACGAACATAAATTCCGCACAGGGTCATAATTAACGTTTGCTGATATCGTTTTTACTCTCTAAAACACACACACACACACACACACACACACACACACACACACACACACACACACACACAGAGAAAACTTCGAACTGAAGTCCCATGGTGTAGGGCTGCAGCAACAGGTAAAAACGACGTTTAACAGTTCTGAGCGTGACATGAGTCAGCCCATACAATTCTACTATGCTTAAACGAGAAATGTCCCCCTTTGGGAATGGCCTAAAGACACTACAGTCAGTGGCACTGCCACCCCCCCCCCGTGGGGGGGGGGGGGGGGGATTTTCTCTTTAAAATTCAGCTTTTAAACTAATGATGTAATAGTGGCTGTGTACATTCAAGCAATGACGGACAAGATAGTCCTTATTACAGCATATTACAGTGATAGGGGCATGATAGCTTAAAGGAACATGCCTGCCGAGCCAAGGGAGTTATTGTGAAGAATAGTGAGATTTCAGGGGGGGGGGGGGATACATGACTGTAAAAAAGAACACTAATTGAAAGTTAACTGTAAGTGCTCTAACGACCACCCGCCCAAGACAATAACCTGTACAAGCAACCATTCCTTTTTAAAAACTATTATGATGCCACTTTTCTCTTCGATAATGTGGGCGGTTGTCTTGGACAGCTTCAACTGTATTTTTTACCATATGTACCCATTATTCAATTGTATCTCTTACATAGTCAATATTGTATTACATTGTAATAATCGATAGAGAATAGTACAACATTAATATCTTCTATATTTGGAAGTACTCCTCAGACCTGACAGCTCTCCCCCCGCCGGAAATCAGTCATAATTTATAATATAATTATGGAGTTGAAATCTTCAAAGTCGCTTAAAGAAGTTTCAACCACTCCGTAAACAATGTATTTGCCATTTCAAATTAGGCGCCCCCATTGCCACTATTAAGATAATTTAAGAGGTAGACTGCTTTGACCCTGCCTGTCATGGCAACCCAGGCTGAGAGGGCTCTCGTCGTAGAGAGGTTAGGGTGTTGGCCTCTCATACAATAAGTCCCAATTTTAACTTCGAATCCGTGCAGTGACAGAAAATTTTTTTCTCTAAAATTTTCTCCTTTCACCTCCTTTCCCGCTCTCTAACAATGTTCTCTCGTCTGCTTTTGTCTTCACTTTCTGCCCCCACCCCTTCATCTCCTTTGCTCCCTCCTCTGTGCTCCTCACTCTTTCTGCGGCCTTTCTACTGCTACTCCTTGGCTCCTTCTTACTGCCGTATTTCAGCCACACCCCTGATCTTAAGGTAGGAGGTAAGATCTAACACCTAGCCTTCTCGGATAAGGGTGAAAAATCTCGAAGGTTCCGTGTGCAAGTTGCGCACATAGAAGACCCCTTGGTAGTCCAAAATAAAAAAGAGTAGGCTCGGCCGTTCGGGCAAAAGAGTTAAAATTAATCCCTACCAAACTACAAATTTTAACTGCCTCCCGCGGGCTCATACCTTTATGCAGTAGCGAGTGCCGAAAAACAGTTACAAAAAAAAAACGAACAACAAAAGCAAGCCAGGCTGAGAGAGATACATACAACCAGAAATAATAATAATGCATAGAGCATCCATGCTCTACAGCACGCTCCATGTCTATGTGCTTTACTTTACAACCAGTCCTAACTATTGTCACCGGATGACCCCAACTCAGAAACATTCTTGGCTTTCTAGGGAGTATACAGTGCAAGCTGTGGATTACAATGCTAAAACACTAACAAACTGACAAGATCTTTTGCAGTCTATAGCCAAGTACCCATTCTTACTGAGCGAAGAGAGGGAAATTTGTGTACTATGAAGTGCCTTTTGCAAGAGGCCCTTGCTTGATGGGATTCGAAGGCACAGCCTTACAGTTGTCAGTTGACAGTCTTTTAATAGTTTTAGTAGAGGTTTTTCAGCGCTCACAACTGCAAAGGTCATATGAGCGCCAGAAGATTAGAGGTGTTACAAGAGAGGAACAAACATAAAAAAGAAGAAGGGGAGATAAGGAAGATAGACGTTTGATAGGAAAGAAGAAGCAAACCACACCAGAGCACCCACTAACCACCCACAGTTGAGAGTCTGAGATCTTAACTGCTATACCAGAGATACTGATAACCACTTTGTTCTTCAGTGAAGATTGAAAAAATATGAGATTGCCAATAAAGGATACTGTCCCCTTTCTTTGACTATACAATGTCAGAAAATCAAGAGTCACAATTTGATGATTTATAATGATATTATATATATTATATATAAAACTGGAAAAACAAGCTCAAGAAGAAGAAATTGTGAAATTAAATTTTACACATTCAATCACAAATGCAGATTCACTGTTTTAGAGTGACAAAGTACTGAATTTTTGGCTGCAGAACACAGGCCACAGTTATGAGGGTCACAAATCAATTGCTTTTAGTAAGGAAATTCCAAACCATGCTTTCTGAAAGCTTTTACCCCAGGGCAGTATGCCTCTGAAACCCCCACTATAATTTTTAAAACGTACAAAAACTATTTAGCCTATATATACCGTGTATATATATATAGAGAGAGAGGCTATATATATATATATAAAATAATGTATTTAGGCTTAGTCTAGAGTGATATAATCGTTTTAAAAAAAAGAACAAAATGTTTCAAAGTCTAGACTAGGCCTGGTCATTTGAAAGGGATATTAAGTTGAAATTCATTAGAAATTTAAAAAATTAACAAGTTTAACAATACCTGAGCCTGAGATGGGAGCGACAATAAAATAATAGGCTAGGGATCGAAGTAAAAAAAGGAGTAGGCCCTAAATGATCGAAGGACATCAGAAGAAGTTGGATTTTAAGGAGCTACATGAGATTCCAGACTCCAAGTCCACAAGCAAGCGCAGGATGACTTTGCACTTCACCTTATTTCAAGCTGCAAATTCCAGTCTCAGGCAGGGAATGACATTCACTTCTCACTAGAATCTAGGCTGGTGTAACACGCTCAGAGCACTACCCTGCAATAAAGATTACCGTAGTAGTTTTGGCGTAAGCCATAACCACTACCGTAGTTATTTTTGCACATGCTGTAAACACTACCCTAGTGACTTTGGCACACGCTATGATGAACATTATCTCTAAGCTAAAAACACTATCGTCATTCTTCAATAAATACTACTGTGGTTGTTTTCGTGGTTCTGGTTTTTTGTTTCTTTTTGTCTTAGTAGAGGCTTTACGGCGTTCGCAACTGCAAGGTCATATGAGCATCAATTTCGTGGTTTAGACATGCCAGAATTTTTAAGACCAGTCCCTTGGGCTATAACTGCACTATAGAGATGGCACCTGAAATGAGGGTTTAACTTTAAAATATCATTTTAAAAAACATTTTCCTTTAGTTTAGTCACAATTGCGTCATTTTACCAAGTATTATGCCTGAAAATAGATATATATTTTTCCTAAAATGCTTTTGAAAGGTAGGGATTTACAATTTCTGAAAACAAATTTTGAATTAAAATTGCATTTTCCTCGAAATCATATTTTTCTGTACATTTTTTTGCTAAAAGTCAGAAGTTTGTGAATGGATTTTAGATGAAACTTGGCAGAGATGTGGTCCAAATAAAGCTAAGCCAGATATCACATGCTTTTTTATATCTTCTTACTATCTAAAGATATATTGATGTTTGTAAGTAAAAAAAAAATAAGGCTTTAAAAATTTTTCAATGACGAGGCCTAGAATCTAGATCTAGAATCTAGATCTAGATCTAGATCTAGGACTAGAATCTAGTTTTTAAAAAAAATGTTTTCTAACAAAATAAATAAATATAGAATCTATGAGATTTATCTGAAAAACTAGCCTACATCTTGACTTTTTTAGGGATTTACACAGGGAAGAAAACTCGCAATTTTGTGGGCAAATAATAAATGTTCTAGGGGAAATTTTATATGCCCCTGTGGGCCAATAAGCACTCCGTTCGCTTATTGCACCGACGGTCCTAAAATACGAAGTTTCTTTCCCTCACCCCAAACTAGATCTAGATCTAATCTAGATTAGATTCTAGAATCTAAATCTAGATCTAGATCTAACACATAGATCTTCTATATATAAAATATGCCAAAATATGTAACGCATTGGAAGTCTAGATTAGATATTAGACTAAGTAGGCCTACTGTTGTACTACCTAACTCAAAATCACTGGCCTTTCTTCAAAAAGCTAAAATCCTAATTAGGCCCAATATCTAATCTGGCCACTTTATGGGCTAATGATAAAACTAATGTAAAAGTAAAGCGTTTAGATAATAGATATCGACTGCTAGTGCTATCTAGATCTAAAATCTAGATCTAGATTCTAGATCTATTCTAGATTTTTCTAGATCTAGAATCTAGATTATCTAGATTCTATGTCTTGGTGTTTTGTTTCGACGAAGCGAGGCAAGAAGAGAGATTAAATTAGTAATCTGACTATAGACTCTCTAGTCTAAACCTTCGCGAACACTCCGCCACCAAACTAAACAGAAACAAAAACATCAAAGATTGACTTACTCAGATCTGCACTCTCATAATTCTGCTAACACTCACAAAACTATAGGCCTACGGCGGTTACAAACACTCAAAAAACGACACAGTCATAGTCGTCAGTCGTCAAAACCACACAACCACACTAGGCCTACTGAGTTGGTGCATGTCACATGACTGTTAGAGCGTGTGATCATGTGATCCGCAGGTTTTCTTTTTGCCCGCCCATTCAGATTCATGAGGCCCTTTAGCCTAGTACAAGTAGTGCAGGGCGCAGGGGTCGGGGTCAGCAATCTTTTAAGACATGTGGGCCGTATCGGAGCACAGGGGAGGCGCGCTGCGCTGGAGCCGGGAGAAATGGATGTCACAATTTTTTGTCACTATGAAAAGACTGAATCATAAAAAAAGAAGCAGTTCATGATAATAGCAACTCTGCTTAGTCGAATGGCCTATAATACACACCAACACGTAGTTGACCTCGATCTTCATAAAAAAAAAGAATGTTCATGCTTTAAAAGCAGCATCTTATCCTGTTTGTCTGTCTGTCTGTCTGTCTGTCTGTCTGTCTGTCTGTCTGTCTGTCTGTCTGT